ACTCGGAACCAGCAACACCGCAGTCAATATCGGGACGCATGGCATGAGGTACCTCCAGTACCTCGACTTCGGCAAGTACTTGTCATCGTCAACCTTGAAGCAGTTCGTCCACTCATCCGAAAAGTCCATGGTGATGTCATGGATTTAACAACCTGCGAGGCGCTACCCGCTCGTGGCCGAATAGAAGAACTTGCTCTGTTCACCTACCATGTCTTGACCAGCACATATCATTTGGAAACACTCACGGTGAACAACCTGCTGTACTACATCAGCCAGCACATCTGGTACACATGGAATCGCTACCTGCCTCCTTCCTCGATGGATCTCCGTTGGCAAGATCAGACTGGGGACACCTTTGCCCTTCGCAATGAGGACAGCCTGATTGAACTTCTCAATGAATTTCGTCCTCATTGGACTGAAGGCCAAGAATTTGGTATTCTATTTCCGAACAATATTCGACATTTCACGTCTCAGAATCAGCCATACATCATGCGCCTGAGTTGCCATGAAGCACTTCCCAACCGCAACCTGCTTCCATAAAGCGGGAAAAAGTTCACCATGCAGCATGTGGCAATTTTCTTTTTCTTGGTTTTGTCTCCATTTGTTTGTTGGTGTTGGTTTTACTTTCTTGCCTCTTTCGCCCTGCTTCATCCCTCAGCTCTTGGCTTCAGCTTTAATATGACAAAACGTGATTCCTGTCTCGCCGGTATCAACTCACCGCGGGCACCGACGAGCATGCAACGTCGTCATCTCCAGTTCGAGGGGCAATCTAGCAGTGGTGCCACATCCTCAGGTCAAAGACCTCAACCAAGCAGCGCCATGGACAATTTGTCCCCACAATCCCATCCGGGGATAGATCATAGCGGCAGTTCATCGTACTACGGGTATGCGTCAACTACCCCGTCTGTTCCTCTACCTGATGTTCCTGCCCACCATATCCCAATGCAGCCTTTGCGTGAAGAAGCCTACCCACTCCAGGCGGAGATCGAACAACAGCATCTAATTCTCCATACTCACATCTTCACAGAGGTCATATCTCCTCACCAGACAGGAGCCAGTCGCCTGATGGTGACAGAAGTGGATCGTTCCGGTGTGAAACGAAACCGTCAACCGGAGTCCTTCTTCAATGGGATTGTTGGTCACATTCGTGCAGACCGTCACGGATGGATAAACTCTTGGGAACAATCTACCCAACTTGCCAACTACTGGCGTCGTCACTTCAATATTCCAGAAGTGCACCATGGGCACGACTCTTGGCAACATCACCCACAAACGTCTGACAATGCTGATCAACTGGACGAAAGCCTAGAATCAATACCGACCAGCTGGCCGCAGTTCTCTGGGACATTCTCAACAATGACAGGGACTCCAATGCTGCGATCCTTGAGAAGCTTGAAAATCCAGGAGATGACTTGAGCACCAACCCGGTCCAGGTCTTTACGGCAACAGACTTGGCCCACCTTGCCAGTTATTTGGCTTTGACGACTCATGTCCTTGTCCAACAGGCCCAGAATATGGAAGAATTGTCCGAAATTGATGACTAACGACAAGCTGAACTTCCTGCCGATGTCGTTCTGAGCAGACCGGATAATTCAATTGCAGATTTCCTCCCTGTATTTTGATTTTGCGTCAATCGCTATATCCTGTTTCAGGGACTAGATAAGAGCTTCGCCAGCTACTATGCAGTCGCCAAAACAGCCTCGCGGCAGCGAGGCGTGTGTGTGTGGAACATCTGAAAAGATGTAAAACTTCTAACTCATGCACTGATTGTCATGATTGGCTTCTTTTTTTATTTTGGACTTTTGCCGTCGTTACATTTGTTTAGATGCAGGGGGGCACAGAAGGCCCATAGAGCTGTGCCCAACGAAGCTCTCTATGGTGTCCTTAGGATATCCAGGCTGATCACCTGGACGTACCTGCACTCGTTTTGAATCAATTTGACTGTCATGGGACGTGGCTAACCCAAGAACCACCATGCCGTTTTCAAACAACCTGATTTCCAAGTTCTCGTTTGCACGGTTTTCGCAATCTGAATCACAAATGTCACTAGAGGATGAACACGCTGCTTCAGAACAAGTTAATCCTTCGAGCAAGGACGCAGAAAGTTAATCTTCGCAGAGTATCTCACTTCCAATCATCAAACCACTCCTCTCAGGTTTACTGAGGTGTTTTTTGCACGTACGATGCATTCCACATCAATAATTCGATAAGCTATTTCTGAGCAAGTGTGTGTAACAGCTTCTCTGTGTAAATGCTTCTCTGTGTAAGGGCTTCGCTGTGTAAAAGCTTCTCTGTGTAAATGCTTCTCTGTGTAAGGGCTTCTCTGTGTAAAAGCTTCTCTGTGTAAAAGCTGGCTCTGTGTAAAAGCTTCCGTGCGTAAAAGCTTCTCTGTGTAAGTGCTTCTCTGTGTAAGGGCTTCTCTGTGTAAAAGCTTCTCTGTGTAAAAGCTGGCTCTGTGTAAAAGCTTCTCTGTGTAAATGATTCTTTGTGTAAATGCTTCTCTGTGTAAAAGTTTGCTGTGTGTAAAAGCTCCTCTGTGTAAATGCTTCTCTGTGTAAGGGCTTCTCTGTGTGAAAGCTTGCTGTGTGCAAAACCTTCTGTGGGCAAAAGCTTCTCTGTGTAGTGTAAAAGTTTGCTGTGTGTAAAAGCTTCTGTGTGTAACAGCTTCTCTGTGTAAATGCTTCTCTGTGTAAGGGCGTCGCTGTGCAAAAGCTGGCTGTGTGTAAATGCTTCTGTGTGTAACAGCTTCTCTGTGTAAATGCTTCTCTGTGTAAGGGCTTCGCTGTGTAAAAGCTTCTCTGTGTAAATGCTTCTCTGTGTAAGGGCTTCTCTGTGTAAAAGCTTCTCTGTGTAAAAGCTGGCTCTGTGTAAAAGCTTCCGTGCGTAAAAGCTTCTCTGTGTAAGTGCTTCTCTGTGTAAGGGCTTCTCTGTGTAAAAGCTTCCCTGTGTAAAAGCTGGCTCTGTGTAAAAGCTTCTCTGTGTAAATGATTCTTTGTGTAAATGCTTCTCTGTGTAAAAGTTTGCTGTGTGTAAAAGCTCCTCTGTGTAAATGCTTCTCTGTGTAAAAGCTTCTCTGTGTAAAAGCTTCTCTGTGTGAAAGCTTGTGTGTGCAAAAGCTTGTCTGTGTAAAAACTTCCCTGTGTGAAAGTTTGCTGTGTGTAAGAAAATCTGTGTGTAAAAGGTGGCGGTGTGTAAAAGCTTCTGTGTGTAAATGCTTCTCCGTGTAAGGGCTTCTCTGTGTAAAAGTTTGCTCTGTGTAAAAGCTTTCTGTGAAGAAAAGATTCCCTAACTTTGTGTAAAAGCTTCTCTGTGTAAAAGTTTCTGTGTGTAAAAGCTTCTCTGTGTGAAAGCTTCTCTGTGTAAGAGCTTGCTCTGTGTAAAAGCTGGCCGTGTGTAAAAGTTTGCTCTGTGTAAAAGCTTCTGTGTGTAAAGGATTCTCCGTGTGAAAGCTTGCTGTGTGTTCATGCTTCGCTGTGTAAAAGCCTTTCTGTGTAGGATCTTTTGTGCGTGAAGGCTTGCTGTGTGCATCCCAATGCACCCACGGGTCAGAGACCGTGCTAACAATTACTCTGAACTTTTCGTGTCGTCTGCATGGAAAAAACTGCTGCGGTGTCTTGTTGGGTTTGGGAAAGAGATTGAATTGCAAGTGTAAGAAAAACTGATGAGAGGTCAGATGTTTTGACATGAGATGAACAACCATGAAATACCACAAGAGAGCAAGTTGATTTCGAAGAAAATGAAAAGACACCAAGTGAGCTGAGATAAGATGACATGAGGTGCGAAGAGCTGAGATGAGGTGCGAAGAGCTGAGATGAGGTGAAAAAACTCAGAAGACATGAGATGAGTTGAGATGAGATGGGATGACACAGACTGCGGTGACAGTGGGATGCAGTGAGCAATTTCCAAGAGAAGCTGCGATGCGATGAGATCAGATGAAATGAGAAAAGATTCAACATTCGAAAGACAGACAAGTCAAGAGCCTGTTGCCACGAAGCACAGGAGGCTTGCCTGTCACCTATACACACAGCCTTTGCTCCGCTCTATAGGCTATACGCGTTTCAAATTTGAAACTTCCGCCCCCGGCTTGCCCGGGTACTACTTGTATATGTGGATATATGTGGATAATGCTTTCTGAGATTCTCGTGTGCTAACAATTTCATTCGTCTGAATGAACGTGTTGGACAGCGTGATGATTACCACTGCGTGGTGTACCTGCGTAACTTTCGTGGCTCCAGGCTCTTGTAGCCAAGGTCACCAGGGAGTTGCAAGGCACCAGCTAATTCCCCCGCCCTCCCATCCCAAATCTGAATTGAAACAGCATGTCGGGCACACTGGGTTTGGGAATACGAGGGGCCCCACTTCACAGGGTAGTGCCTTGAGGTGCAGGTCGTGGGTCCCACCACATCCGCTTATACATGTTTACATAGTGCCCAAACATATGGGGTTTTAAGCCCAGTACGGCAGAGAGTGTGCATATTTTTGTTGCATTTCAAGACACGGGTAACTTGTGGTGTGCGAACTTGTCGCTTCATGCAGAGCGCTGCAAGTTTCCAAGTATTGTTCTTGCAGCAATTGGGGAGCATGCAATCTAGCCTGCCGTGTAGGTTTCGATTTCTTCCCTGTCGCCGTGTGCAAAGTCGACAAGGGTTTCTTTTCCTCCACCCTTTCGGACAGCGCCCGCTCGTCGTAATCAAACATTTCCCAGGACCTTTGTTCGGAGAAACTGAAATTTCATAGTTTTTTTAGAAGGCTCTGCGTCATTTCGTGCCTACATACGTCCCTCGAAATTTCGTTCGCTGGTGAAAATAAGTGCTGTCCTTCCGACGTTGCTTCTGATACTTTTTGGACATAAATCGACGCATTGTTGACATGATTGCCCGCAAAGGAGCTGGTCCTTGGTCCCACAATTTTTTAGACAATGCGAAAGAAATTGATGCAACGCTTTTGTGTCATGCCTGTCTCCATGTTTCTTGTTTCCAAAATTGAGCTGCAGAGCTAAGGCTGGATCACCCTGCCGTTGTGTGCAGGGTGTGTGCTTCTCCTTGTTCGAGCGCTTCAAGGATATGTGCAGAAACTGTTGCTTGAAGCATCATGCGACTGTTTTAATTCTCTTTCGTCCTTCAGCTTCATTCATCTCTGATTGCGTTCCCTTTAGGAGAGCCGGCAGCATTTGTTCATCCTCCAAGCACGAGGAGCCTTTTCTACCGCAGTTGCTGTTGCGGCCTGCGATTTGTTGATCTTCTTGTCTTGTGTCTGTTGACATTGTGATCCTGGGAAGCTTTCCGCCTTAGTGTGGCTTTTCAGCTTATCTCTTATTTGCTTGCACTCTGCTAGGGATCATCTGGGGTTAGCTGCAGATTTCATATTTGTTGCCATCAATTGCTGAATTTATGATGCTGCCTGTTGTACGGATCCCCTGTGTCTCTTCTGTCCATCGTACATGTGGCCGGCTGATTCTTCTTCTCGTTATCTAAAGAATATATATATATATATTGAAAATAGCGAGATAGTATAAACACTCATAATTACTTTTTGGGCCAAACTGACCCAAAACTGTGGCTAAAGGGATGGTAGAACCACCGGCAGAAGGGCCGACGCAACTCAAGAAACCCGAATCTTGGGTTTTGTGGCCGGCAAACTGAGCGGCAGAACCTGTGGTTAACACTGTGGGAACGAAAAGCCATGGCATTTGTGCCGGCAAGTCGTATGGCAGAGCATCCGAAGCAGTGATGGACAAGCAACTTTCTCATAGTATAACCCTAAGGCAACTTCCGCCCCGCCTCGTGGGGCTACTACTGGTATGTATTGTATGTATTGTATTGTATGAAAGTGTGGTATGTATCGCATGTAATGATTGCAATGTGTGTAATGTATGTTTGTATGTTTTGTATGTTTTGTATGTTTTGTATCTTTTGTATCTTATGTATGTATGTATGTATGTATGTATGCGTATGCAATGTATGGAATGCATTACAGACATGTAATGCATGTAATGCGTGTAGTGCATGTAATGAATGTCATGCATGTAATGAATGTAATGCATGTAGTGCATGTAACGCACATAATGCATGTAATGCACGTAATTCATGTGTAATGCATGAAATGGATGTAATGCATGTAATGCAACGCATGTAATGCACGTATTTAATGCATGTAATGTATGAAATGGATGTAATGCATGTAATGCATGCAACGCATGTAATGCACGTAATGCATGTAATGCATGAAATGGATGTAATGCATGTAATGCGTGTAATGCATGTAATGCAAGCATTGGATGTAGTCCATGTAATGCATGTAGTGTATGTAATGTATGTAATGTATGTAATGTATGTAATGTATGTAATGTATGCACTGTAGTATATGTACTGTATGTAATGCATGCAATGCCTGTAATGTATGTATGTAGTGTATGTATTTTGTGTATTGTATTTTTGTATTGTATGTAAATACGGTATTGTATGTATTGTCTTGTATGTTTTGGATTGTATTTGTTCTTGTTTTTGTATTGTATGTATTGTTTTGTATGTATTGTAATGTATGTATTGCATTGTATGTATTGCATTGTATGTATTGCATTGTATGTATTGTATTGTATTTGTTTTTGAATTTGTATTGTATTGTATTGTATGTATGTGTGTGGGTATGTCTGTGTGTGTATGTAAGTGTATGTGTCTGTACGTGTATGTATGTTAATGTGTATGTGTTGGAGTGACCCCCCCCACTAACAGTGGAATAATGGATTTTAATTGTAACTTCCCAGACAAAATTGCACAACAACCCAGGGACCAAAACCACAAACAATTTGAGAGGCCCAATCTTCTCAATCCAAATTTTTCTGATGTTGAACCGAAGTATGAAATCACTCTGGGGGCAGCCTACTTGGAACCAGATCAAATCTATTCAGTTGGAGCTTGCAGAGATTTTGTTGGATAAAATCCCTTTTGGGCAAAGGGAAAGGCAGCAGTGCAGGGACGAGTTTGCTAAGGGACAAATTTTGCTAAGGGACTAATTTTGCTCAGGGACAAGTTTTGCTAAGGGACAAATTTGGCTAAGGGACAAGTTTTGCTAAGGGACAAATTTTGCTAAAGGGAAAATTTTGCTAAGGGACAAATTTTTCAGTGACAAGTTTTGCTAAGGGACAAATTGTGCTAAGGGGCAATTTTTGCTAAGGGACAAATTTTGATAAAGAGAAAATTTGGCTAAGGGACAAATTTTTGAGTGACAAGGTTTGCTAAGGAACAAATTTTGCTAAGGGACACGTTTTGCTAAGGGACAAATTTTGCTAAGGGGCAAATTTTGCTCAGGGACAAATTTTGCTAAGGGACAAATTTTGCTCAGGGACAAGTTTTGCTAAGGGACAAATTTTGCTAAGGGACAAATTTTGCTAAGGGGCAAATTTTGCTCAGGAGCAAGTTTTGCTAAGGGACAAATTTTGCTAAGGGACAAGTTTTGCTAAGGGACAAATTGTGCTGCTAAGGGGCAAATTTTTCAGTGACAAGTTTTGCTAAGGGACAAATTTTGCTAAGGGACAAATTTTGCTAAGGGAAAACCCTTGCTTGATGTTGTGTTTTTTTTTGTGCCCTCGGCCGTGCTTTTGGAAAAGGTAGAAAATATCAAAAGCACAACTTCCCATGCAAAAAGAGCACAAAAAGTGCACAACTTCCCTGATGATTTGATCACAAAAATTAGCACAACAAACAGCACAACTAACCACAAGAAAAAGCACAACAAAACCCACAACGTTTAGGCTTAAAGAGTACAACTTCCCTGATCATTTTTGCACAACAACAAGCCAAGGAAAAAGAAACATCTAATTGATTTTATTCTTGGCACCGACCACAACTTCATCAACAAAAAAACACAAAAAGTGCACAACTTCCCTGATGATTTGACCACAAAAATTAGCACAACAAACAGCACAACTAACCACAAGAAAAAGCACAAAAAATACCACAGCGTTTAGGCTTAAAAAGCACAACTTCCCAGCCCAAAAGTTTACAACCGCAGCCCCCCCCAAATCCCCAGGTTGTCCTGAACCTGCAGTCGGCTAGGGCCTGCCAGCCCAGCCTGAGCCTAGATCCTGCTTGAGGGCCGTGCCACCCGTTAGTGTGGCCAGTTCTGGCACCCGTTAGTGTGGCCAGCTCTGTTAGTGTGGCCATCTCTGGCACCTGTTAGTGTGAAGCCCCAGGTTAGCTTGAACACCAGGCAGCCAAGTCAATGAAATGATTCGTGTGATTCATATGATTCGATATGAAAAACCTTCGGCCAATGATACTTTTAAACTGAGAAGCAAAGCTTTTCAAAGTAAAGACTAGGGTGTGTCAGAGTATCAGCACACATGATTCTGTCGCATGCGTCATATGTAATGAGATATGATTGTTTTTTTCTGTGATAAGTCATATTAGTCATGAAGAAATTTTATCCAACAAAATCACTCTGGGGGCAGCCTACAAAGCATAAACCCATTTATTTGGTGGGCCTCCCTTGGTTCGATAGGATGGTGCATAATCAGAGTCCCTGTACTGGATTGCCCAGGATTTTTCAATATACAGACCTAAGCTCTCATTGGCCTTTTCCGGTCAAAGTATATACAAACCCAACTTCTTTATGAACTATTGGGTTCATGCAGTGAAAAACCCAACTTCTTTGTGGGTTGGTAGACTGACAAAATGTGCCAACCCAACTTCTCAATGGCAGGGTCCATCGTGCTTGTGCTTTTTTTTGTGGTCTGGATTGTGGTGACTGTTAGTGTAAGGGGGGACAGTCCAATGTATGTGTATGTGTATGTGTATGTGTATGTGTATGTGTATGTGTATGTGTATGTGTATGTGTATGTATGTGTATGTGTCTGTATGTGTATGTGTATGTGTATGTGTATGTGTATGTGTATATGTATGTGTATGTGTATGTGTATGTGTATGTGTATGTGTATATGTATGTGTATGTGTATGTGTATGTGTATGTGTATGTGTATGTGTATGTGTATGTATGTGTATGTGTCTGTATGTGTATGTGTATGTGTATGTGTATGTGTATGTGTATGTGTGTGTATGTGTATGTGTATGTGTATGTGTGTATGTGTATGTGTATGTGTGTATATGTATGTGTATGTGTATGTGTATGTGTATATGTATGTGTATGTGTATGTGTATGTGTATGTGTATGTGTATGTGTATGTGTATGTGTATGTGTATGTATGTGTATGTGTCTGTATGTGTATGTGTATGTGTATGTGTATGTGTATGTGTATATGTATGTGTATGTGTATGTGTATGTGTATGTGTATGTGTATATGTATGTGTATTGTGTATGTTGTATGTGTAGGGGTATGTGGTATGTGTATGTGTATGTATGTGTATGTGGTTGTGTTGTATGTGTATGTTGTTATGTGGATGTGATGTGTATGGGTATGTGGTGTATGTGTATGTGTATGTGTTATTGTGGGTATGTGATGTGTATGGGGTATATGTATGTGTATGTGTATGTGTATGTGTATAGGTATGTGTATGTGTATGTGTATTGTGTATGTGTATATGTATGTATATGTTTGTATATGTATGTATATGTATGTATATGTATGTATATGTATGTATATGTATGTATATGTATGTATATGTATGTATATGTATGTATATGTATGTATATGTATGTATATGTATGTATATGTATGTAATATGTACTAGTATATGTATGTATATGTATGTTTATGTATGCGTATGTATGTGTATGTATGTGTATGTATGTGTATGTATGTGTATGTATGTGTATGTATGTGTATGTATGTGTATGTATGTGTATGTATGTGTATGTATGTGGATGTATGTGTATGTATGTGTATGTATGTGTATGTATGTGTATGTATGTGTATGTATGTGTATGTATGTGTATGTATGTGTATGTATGTGTATGTATGTGTATGTATGTGTATGTATGTGTATGTATGTGTATGTATGTGCATGTAAAATTAGGTATTGTTATATGTATGTATATGTATGTATATGTATGTATATGTATATGTATGTATGTATGTCTGTGTATGTATGTCTGTGTATGTATGTACGCATGTTTGTTTGTATGTTTGTATGTGTATGTATGTGTATGTATGTGTATGTATGTGTATATGTATGCATGTATGCATGTTTGCATGCATGCATATATGTATGTATGTGTGTATCAATATTTAGTGCTTTTGAACACGCGCAGTCCTATTGAACACGCCCAGTCCCGCAGAAAACTTGACCAGCCCAGATGATGGTTCCATGTCTTGCCAATGCTTCCTGTTAGAATGAAGGCGGTTCATCAAAGCAGGTAACAACTTGGCGTCTTGGTTTGGTACTTTCTCTAGCAGAATCATTGAAATAGAGGACGGACACCAGAGTGGAAGGTCATGCAGGCAACGCAAAGCAACCCTAATTTGCTACTATAAATGGTGCTAATGGGGCAAGAATCAGAAAGTTCTGATAGTGCCGCCAGTGCCGAAAGTGCCATCGTTTCACAGCATTATCATTTGCTGAGTTTGCTGCCTGTTTGCTGCGTTGAGGCTTCACCGGACTGCTAGAGGAGCAGAAGGTGATGAAAGTGCTGAGTCCCTCAGGCGTCGGGCCAGGGAGTGACCAGGTAGTAATCTTCAGGTGAGGTGGCAAGTGGACTCAAATTGAGCGAATTGCAGGTGAACAGATTCTGTCAGTGTTGTTGTAGACTCCTTCCATTTTGTTCTCTGATGTGAGTCTTCTGTGCAGAAGTACGGCAATAGCCATTGCAATTTGTCGCATTTCTCATTGGCAAAGGGCACGTTCTTCCCTTGGGCTTTCACATTTGATGTTCGTCTCTGTTTTTCCAGGACGGTTGTTTGTTGCTATGAAGTGCAACATATACCCAAAACCTGCCTGGCTGGTGTAGAGATATTTGCGAGTGATGCTTTAAGCTACTTCAAAGATAGTTTCTGCTTCCGAATCAGTGCTGTAGCTGCAGCCTTAGCGCACTTCAGGGCGCGGGTTGCGCAACTGGAGATGAAATTGGCCGAAAAGCTTTTGACACCGGATGACGTGCCAGAGGAGCCTTTTCGGGGTCGGTTTTCAGTCCACTTGCAGTGACGTTGCCGTGTTTCGATGTTCTCTAGTGAGGGGCCGGGTTAGATTTGTTTATTTCCCTTGCATATCGCGCTGTGTTGAGTTCATACTTTCAGTCGTCTTGTGCCAGTAGTACCTGCATGAGGCGGGGCGGAAGTTGCCTTGGGGTTCTGCAACAAGACTTTTCTCATCTATAGAACTTGCATGCGCCGGACGAACCTGTTGCGGTGTTGTTGTCCAAGAACATGCCCTGCGCGCGACCTCGGTGCAATGCAACTCCAAGCGAACACTTTCTTTACACTTCACACTGCGCTCTTCACAGCCCACACTTCACACTTCACACTTGCACTTCGCACTCCACACTTCATCTCATCTCAAATCATGTGAGCTCTTCTCACCTCATCTCACCTCATCTCAGCTCTTCTCATCTCACCCCATCTCTTCTCACATGTCACCTAAGTAAGTTCTTCTCAACTGTTTTCATCTCATCCGGGCACTGATCAACCTTTCTCATCTCCTCAAAGGTCTTCTCAACTCATCGCAGCTGTTCCTTGTATGCTTCCAGCAATGTTTCTGTCGATGTAATTGGTGCCACCGCAAATCGATCCAACAGCCACTGTAGTCCTAAGTAGTTTAGCTTGCTTGATATTTTGGCTTCCATTTTTTGAAGGAAGAGCGCGCCCCGTCTGTGCTGCAACCACTGACCCTTGGCTGACGGTGATTGTGGAGGAATATCTTGATTAGTTATTTCGCTCAATTAAATTAATTATGTTTTTTTTGTTTTCGCTGAGGGCTGCCCATTCCTCATTTCGTCCAAATCAATCCATTTGCTAAGGGTAGATGCTGCAGTGAAGGAGGTCCCTGAGTTACAAGCCGTGGAAGACGCGAGGATGGGCATGACTGAGGACAAGATGTCGCTTCGGACGGCATTATGATTGTTGACGGCAGTTTATGTTCAGTAAAGTTGTGCGCTTTGTCCACTCACCTTGCCATGCAAGACGAGACGAAAGTTGAAAGCAAGAACTATATAGAACTATACAGATTAATTATACCTGTCGGGTTTGAAACGTCAAAAAGCCGTTTACAATGTGCAAGGGGCAACAAGATGGCATGGCGAAGGTCAGGAACATCCTGCTGTTTGGTGCGTATAAGAATGCCCTTGGCGTTCAATCCTCTAGCGCTGAGCTCCATTAAGGTCTCTCTTGCGAAGGCGCGCGGGCACACACACACACACACACACACCCACACCCACACCCACACGCACACGCACACGCACACGCACACGCACACGCACACGCACACGCACACGCACACGCACACGCACACGCACACGCACACGCACACGCACACGCACACGCACACGCACACACACGCACACGCACACACACACGCACTCACACATTCGTCTGTCCGTCTGTCTGTTTGTCTGTTTGTCTGTTTGTCGGTCTGTCATTCCGTCCGTCTGTCTCTCTGTCTCTCTGTCTCTCTGCCTCTTTGTCGCTCTGTCGCTCTGTCGCTCTGTCGCTCTGTCGGTCTGGCGGTCTGTCGGTCGGTCTGTCGGTCTGTCGGTCTGTCGGTCTGTCGGTCTGGCGGTCTGGCGGTCTGTCGGTCTGTCGGTCTGTCGGTCTGTCGGTCTGTCGGTCTGTCGGTCGGTCTGCCTGTCTGCCTGTCTGCCTGTCTGCCTGTCTGCCTGTCTGCCTGTCTGCCTGTCTGCCTGTCTGCCTGCCTGCCTGCCTGCCTGCCTGGCTGTCTGTCTGTCTGTCTGTCTGCCTGCCTGTGTGTATGATTTTTTGACTCTTTGATTCTTTGATTTGTTGCTCGTTTGCTTGTTGATTGTTTGGTTGTTTCTTTATTCGTTCGGTCGTTCGTTCATTCGTTTTTTTTGGTCCGTGTGTGTGTGTGACAAACCCTGAAACAAAGGGTCAACAGCAAGGGGGTCACCCACGACCTTGACTGGTGACCCAACGAAGAGGGTCCAGGCTCGTGCTAATACTGCAAAACTGTTGTGATCGCCAGGTACTAATTTGATCCCGCTTGTTTCTGAATGCCAACTGGGCAAGGCCAAAAACCCAGCACGCGGAACCATGAATTTTTATGTCATCTCATTTCATCCTCTCCCTTCGGGGTGTTTTCAAGTGTGTATTTCACGCGCCTGGATCTCTGATAAAGTGACGGGGAAGCTGGGCGGTGCGTTGATCGGGGGTACCATAAAATCTTCAGAATTCGCCAGACTTTATGTTGCCAAGCAGTACTTGCACAAGCATCCAGAGTTCGTTTCAGATTTTGCCAGCGGAAGCAGCTTGAATGTCTGATTTCATTTTCAGACTTCGCCAGATGGTGAACTCCAGACTTTTCATCTCAGATTTCGACGTGTCATCCATGCATCATGTTCACTTAACAACTTACCTTGCAGTCATGACCATGCAACCTTGTCATGTTCATGGGGGCAGTTCACCGCAGTTTGCAGATGCCTTTTAATGCCTAAGTTAGCCTAAGTTTCACTGTGCAGCTGAGGCGGGATTCCTCGACAACACCACCGAGGACAGCCTTTCTCGTTGTAAAAACTGCGCCCGTGCAGCTTGTTGTGTGCGAGAAACCCTGAAACAAAGGGTCAACAGCAAGGGTCACCCACGACCTTGACTGGTGACCCAACGAAGAGGGCCAAGGTTCGTGCTGATGCCTGGCCTGCTCAGCCAGACGTACCTGCAAAACTGTTGTGATCGCCAGGTACTAATTTCTTGTTTTTGAATGGCAACTGGGCAAGGCCAAAAACCCAGCACGCGGAACCATGAATTTTCATTTCATCTCATTTCATCCTCTCCCTTCGGGGTGTTTCCAAATGTGTGTCTGTGTGTCTGTACTGTGTCTGTTTGTGAAATGCATTGCCACAACCGTTTGCTCTCTATGTTTGGGGTTCTGTTCCCGGCTAAATCCGCCTGTGCGAAGGGCAGCGATGCCTGTTTGCAGACGCGTCGTTGCTCCCGCTCAGAAAGGCAAAGTATTCAACCGGCTGTTCCTGCCCAAACAGTGCTCAGCATAGGCACAGCAGTCTCCCAATATGGCTCATGCATTGCCCCAACATTATAGCCTTAGCATCCGGTAGCCGGTAGCCCAGCATGGCTCAACCTTGACCCAACATGTGCCCAACATGGCCCAACATAGCCCTAACGTGCCCGAGCATGGCCCCATGGCGTAAGATTGAGCCGTACATGGTTCAAAATCATCAGGTGCTTTGCGGTGTGGGTTGTTTTTTAAATATAGGTTGTATGTGCTTTCGTTTTTTTTCGCGGAAAGTATTGAGACATGCCGCACCTGCAAACTAAAGCGTGGCAAGAGAATGATCCATGGGGCAGGCCATTTTGCGGTTTGGTGTTGGTACACATTCTCCGGAACAGTCTCCCGTTCCAGGGCGCTATCATGCTTTCAAGACTCGTGTGATGCAAACATATTGTACTTTGAGCAACGCAAATTCGAATGTACGGAGCACCGCAAATCTTGCGTTGAATGACTGTCATTGTATGTTGTGTATGGTGTGTGGCAAGGAAAGGGTAAAGGATACCAATCGTGTTTTACTTGTGCTGAAGGTTGGGGTAGCAGAAAGAGGGAAGTCAGGGGCCCCCTTGCACAGAAAACTCTAGAATCAGGACTTGCTTGAACTGAATTCAACACAGTTGGAGGTACTGACACGAGGGCAAACTTGCCTGCTGAACTGCTTGTTTTTGGGTGCAACAGTTTTCTTGGAGACGTTTGCAGAAATATGATATGTTGAAGGAGGTCAGGGAAACTTGGTTCTAAAACCTGCCAGGCAGTGTGTTAGAACAGAGCAAAAACGGTTGGTAAGCCAGCACGCTCTGATTTGGAAAAGTTGGAACAATTTGTTTGTCTTGCCAAACAACATGTTTGCGTAGTTTTTTTTTTGCGGATTCCTGCTTATAGTTCGTTAAACTGAAACCCAGTTTATTGAGTCTAAATTGCAGTTTGCCAAGATGGCCCGAGTTCATTTGTCCATACAGTGCAGTATTTGGTCCATTTTGTTGATCCTGTATCCCTATGCTGTCCTGTCTACCCCGTTGGATCTGATCCGGTCCAACCTATTTTTGATCTGAATTATATAATCCTTTGTTTGTTTATCCTTCCATCCATCTGTCTAGCTGCAATTGTAGAGACTATGTCAATGTGCGCACTGGAAGGACAGGCGAAAGTTGTTGAGCGCAGAGTCCTTCGATTGAGTGATGCTTCAAGCTTGCATTCCAGCAGAGTACGCGATAAGGTATGTCTTCCAAATGGGAAATGCTTCTGGGAAGCAGGCTATCTACAGACGCAAGTATGAGGCGTGGGGATTGTCAACAGTTGAGGGCCTTAGGTTGGGCTTAGAGCTGCCCCTGCAAAGGCAGAGGCTGATTGAATCAACGTCAGAGCTTGTGCAGTTTAAAGCTCACAAGCTTCCTCAGACTGGATTCAAAGCTGCCAGGTCATGGGTATGGTCCTCACGCAACAGGAAGAATTCTTGAAGGCGCCTGATATTTGCCCGTCTGCACCGTTTGCACCATTTAGCACACAGAGCTTTCGGCTCCTTTGGCTCTGGCTGGTCTCTGACAACTGAAGGCAAGCCGCAAGGCAGTCAAAAGTGCCAAGTCCTCTCCGGCTATCAAGGCCGTCAACATCCGTCAATAGTAAACAGTGGTGAAAAAGTGATGAAGTGTCCAAGTGATGGTCGGCAGTGGTCAAAAGTCCAAGTCGCAGAGACCAGTAGTCCGCTCTTTGCAAGCAGAGAATCTTACGCGGCGCAGCTGTGCAATTCATTTTGCAGGAACTGATGGAGCTAAAGAAGAACGGTGGTTCCTAAACTTAATTCAGTTGGGGCAAATGTAGAATGCTTACTTGCTTACCTGCTTGCCGTGTCATTGTTGTGCCCAAGGACTGGGAATGACCAAGAAAGGGATTGCCAAAGAGATTTCCAGAATTGAAGCAACTTGGATGATTCAATTGTTGCACCCAGGTGACTCTTTCTTGAGCAGACCTACAGGCAATGTTCCTGAGGCAAATGACAACATGGCTGCTATCATTTTCAGGGATGTGATTCCCAAACTGGAGGCTGGCTGCTTTGAAATCTTGGTACAAACTATTGCTCACTGCCTGTTGCTGCAAACTAATTCTTGTCATTTCTTGCCTCCTTTCCGATTTGGCTTGAAGAGGAGAACCCGCTGGGAGATGCCCTTGGCTATCTCAGTGCAACCTTTCTTTTGATTCTGGTGCCTTGTTATGCAATGCGGCATGCAAGTAGGAGGCCGCACAGCCAAATTGACAAATCCACTTTTATTTTGAGATGCATCTAAACTTGAACGTTTGTGCATATTCTGCCAATTCTGCCCCTGTATCTCAAGGTGCTGGCACTCTTCTCTCTTTGCTTGGTGCCTCCTGTCATCAATCCAGATGAGTAGACGCGTGCCCTTTCACACTTCTTACGCTTACACCTGTTCAAAAAGAATCAGCTTGAGATGTAATCCATGCCTGCGCCACGCATTTCCTATTCTGACTTGCAACTTGCCCATACTGTGGGACGCATCGAGCTTCTCCAAAGATGCTTTTGTCATCTTTTGTCCGTGAATTTGGCTACAGACAATTTGACAGTCTGCACATGCAACAGGCGCTTGATGCTGTAGTGATGTTGAGGGCACGCAGGAGAAGCGCTGCCATTTCCGCACTTTTTCTTCACCTATCCCGCACATTGAAAGATTAGCCACAAGGAAACGCAACACTTAAAGATTTGCAACATCTTCGCCTCTGACTTTGAGGGTCCAAGCACTTAGGGCCTCTTCCATACTGTGATACGGTCACGCGAACGGAAGGCAGCCAAGAAGATACTGCCAGGACAGTACTGTAGGGATCCACTTGAAATGCATTCAGATGATTCTAGATCAGCTCTGGGCCAACTTAGATCGACTTGGATCAACCTTGATTTTGAAGAAAGTTTCTTAGGTGCTTTCAGATCGTATCCATTGAACTCCATTGCTGTCCATCGTCTTCTCCCTTCTGTTCCCGTGAAGTACCAATGCTTGCTGTCTCTGGCCTTGGGCCGCAGCATCGTAGCTATGGCTTGGCATTCCGAGAGCATTGGCAGCTTGGCCCAGCTTGGCCACTGTGGGTCGACATAGGTCGCTTCTGTCAATGACTATGAGACTTTGTGAGATTGCAATTCTCCTTCTAAGAATTCTTCTATATCCTTCGGTTCAAAGCTTTACTGAAGTATAGCGGAACATTTGTGGACGCTCAATCAACAGTTTTTTTTGTTTCCAAGTCGATTTTTTTCTCAGGCAGCCACAACAAGGCGGGGAAACGATTTGAATCAGAGTTGCCCCGACCAGACACTGCCAAACTTGCCAACAGTTTGGGCAAACTGTATCCGGGTCTGGTCCAACGCACAAGATGGGGGTGCCTAAGGTGGAGGAATCAAAGGGACCCGGATGATAAAGGCTATGGCTATGCTGGGACTGGGTCACAGATTGATTGATTGCGAAATGGGTTTCCTGCTGGCTTTCGTTTCTCCCTTCTCGGGTTAGGCTGTGCCATGTGCAGAACCAAAGCAAGCTTGCAGGATGCGCATGACTTGACCACTAAATTTAAATGTATATACATGGCAAACATGGAAAGACACCTGTAGTCTTCCAAAACTAGGCCGTTTCTTCGTAGTTTGTTTGGACACTCGCTAACTGAAGTGCTGCAGTTATTCTTGTGCCGTTGGTCAATCTAGGGGATTCGAATCGTTCTGCTGTGAGTGGTTGCATTCGCCCACATGAAGGATCAATATCCACCAACTCACCAGACATACGCAAACAGACAAATAGAAAACACATTGTATAATAAAGGAGACGCAAGTAAACACACCTATCCTGACGCGTCACTATGCTTGACTTGCATGTATTTGTGTGTGTGTGAGAGGTAGACAGACTCAACCACATGTCTGGCTGACTGCAAGGTGGGCAATCGGAATTGCAACATGTGCAAAACACAAACTCATGGCTCTCAGCCTTGCAAAGGAATTCCTTTGGGCCAAGGAAGGAACTGATGTGCAGGCCAGCTCACGGTCTGAAGTTTGAGAAACTACGTCAAATTGTTGCGTCCACTGCTCAGGACAAGACGCCGTTACAACACTGACATTGAAAATGAATGGATAGGATGACCTGAACAAATGTTGTAGAGGCGTTTATTTCCCCAAACAGTGTACTGTTAGGGGTTCTTAAATCTTATATAATGCTTTCTTAAGGTGTCCGCCTTGGTGTTGGATGGTCTGTCCACCTTCCCCTTGTCTCCCATAGTCTCCCTTCTTGTTTCCCTTTGTTCGATGGTGTGTCCACTTTCCCGAGGTCTTGTTTCCCCTTCTCTCCCTTCTTGCTTCCCTTTGTTGGATGGCGTGTCCGCTTTCCCGAGGTCTTGTCTCCCCTCTTGTTTCCCTTTGTTGGATGGTGTGTCCGCTTTCCCAAGGTCTTGTCTCCTTGTCTCCCCTTGTCTCCCTTCTTGTTTCCCTTTTGTATGGTGTGGCCGCCTTCCTGAGGTCTTGTCTCTCCCCTTGTCTCCCTTCTTGTTTCCCCTTGTTGGATGGTGTGTCCACCTTCCCGAGGTCTTGTCTCCCCTTGTCTGGAAGCACAACATGTGCGTAGGAACAAAGAAGAGCAGTGCACATGTTCATACCGTGTGAAGTTTGGCACAAGGGCTACTTTCAATCAAGGAGGTAAATGTGATCGCTGCCATGGCCGCTGCGATCTGGCTGACCAACCTCCTGCTTGATGCGCAGACTGCTCGGAATTCCGTATTCCCCGAAGGGGCCGACAGCCCTGTCATCGCAGTGGGCTTCCTGGCCATGAGCGCGGCGCTGGACCATCCTTCTTTATGAAGGCTGCCCGTTGAGAGGCCTGTGTCCATGCCTGGTGTCCCTAGCTGTCGCTCTTGGCCCAGCCCTTTGTGATGCTTGTGGAGGTTTAAAGGAGGGGCATGCAACGTGGATCCCCGGGCAAGAATATCCCACCCAGGCTGAGCTCGATCGTGAGTTGGAGCTGATGCGGATGGAGTTGGCACAGGCCACTACACCAATGGTCCAGTGGCGATTGTCGCTAGCCCGGGCTGAGGGAATCCGCTTCGACGTGTTCAAAACAGTGGCGATGAATGAATCTTCACAGTCGTGGTTGTCCAGTCTCCTCTGTCGACGCATCTCTCCCACTCTATCCTTTTTCGTAAGGGTATGCAGGGCCCATCGCCCCAATGATTTCATAGTGGCTGGTCTGGGGCTTCACTCATTTTGTCAGTTTGATTTCTTCCAAGTTTCAACTCACATTCATACATGACCACGCTTCATTTGCACAAGCCTTGGAGAGTTGTGGGGCTCTCTTCGTAAGGCCGGGTTGCAATCCCTAGCGCCGAACTTGGTGCATCATGGCATCACCAGCGTAAACCAGCTGGTACTCCGTTTTGAGGAGTTGCACGAAGCTGGCCAACAACCAGAAGGCTGAGGGCAAGAACGCATGGAACAAGGAGGCATGGACCTCCGATTGGAAAACCCAACAGAAATAGGGACAGCATCATGGCCACAGGAGTGGTGGATCCAGTGACACCCGACAATATTGATCAACCACCAACAGTCCTTGCAGCACAGCCCCCGCAAGGGAAACAATTCAGTCGAATTCATGAGAAAGTGATCCTCCTCAGCTTCAGCTGCTTTGACGGCATCGACACCCCTGCGATGATCTTGTGGGGGCTGGTCGTGGGCATTGCCCTCCACTTGTCATAGGAAGTGGACCCCGACTGCCTAGCGGTGCTGCAACGCCATCACCTAGGTGCTCAGTGTCGAGGCAATTTCATGGAAGATGATCCACAAGCCGTGGCTGACATCATCAAGACGTATGTCCCGACCAGTTCCATGCTTGTCTTGTTCGTGGCTGCCTCACCATGCCAAGACTTTCCCGCATCAAAGAAGATGCACCGGGTTCAGCTATGGTGCGGAGGGGCAGAAGTTCACAGCCTTCTGTGGGCTTGCCAGCCATATCGAGATGAACATACCCCACCGACGAGTGGGACACCTTGTGGAGAATGTCGTCATGGAACGAGGTGAGGCAGAATACTTCGCGTCCCGCCTCGACTGCAGCATGATCGTGGTCGATGCGCAGCACCTGGGCATCATCAGTCGTCCTCGCCTGTGGTGGATGCGCATCGACTGGAGCAAGATGCGCACCAGTCCCCTGGCTGGAATGAGAATGAAGTGGACCAAGACGCAGAAGTTTCACCGTCTTCATCAGGACGGTCCTCTTTAAGATGGAACGCAGATGGACTTGGGCGACCTGAAGCTGCACCCAAAGGGTGATATCACACGAGCTTCGAATCCCTTGCCTGACCACGCCATCTCCTTCGGAAGCCGGAAGGCCGCCACGGAAACGTATGAAGGGCAAGGTTCATCCAGAGCAGAAGGCCCGTAGGCTCGTGACAACAGGACCTTCGCCCCCTGGCAACATGCAGAAGAAGCTCTACTTCACGGAGCAGATGGTCAGATGCATGTGCCGCCGGCCAGGGTCAAGGAGCAGCTCCGTCAACTGGCCCCTGACTACTTTTTCAGGTGTCTCTGAACGTGTCAGGCACCGACTGCTAGCCAATGGGTGGCACTTTGGGACAGCTCGCTCGGTGATGATGATGGTCCTGCATGTCCATTGCCGCCGCAGAACCGGTTCCAACACCTCGCACGTCTGCAGTCCAGACAATGCTGCAGATTCTCAGCCGCTTCCCCGGTGGACGGCAGACCCAGTATGCGTTCCACAGGCAGATTTCTGTGGAATCACTGGTCTTTGGCATGCGCAGCGGAGCATCCACGCAGCTGACTCCAACAATGCCTAGACATACAACGTGCAGATGCTGGGCGTCAGCCTTGGTCATCTCCGCAGAGATGATGGCCCAAGACCACAGTGAGGACACAATGGTGTGGTGGCGCGACTCGCACCAGCGCACTACAACCAGCAACATCAGCAGATTTCACAGATTCCTCTCCTCCTAGGGTTGTTGAAGATGACGGGAATGTCCAGCTTGGACGACCTTGCAACCGACCTTCAACAGGGTTTCCAGGTCATGGGGACACTGAACCCAGGCGCCGGATGGTTGCCAAGGGCTGATCAGAAGCATGAATTCCCCGCCACGTCGGAGCATTCCAGAAGCACAATCGCCGCTACACCTTGGCCAAATTGAAAAGCGGCCGGGTCGACCCAGAATGGCAGACCATGCTGTGTGAGCTACGCGAAGAAATTCACAAAGGCCGCATGTCTGGTCCTTATGCAGCCCCTTCCTGGTGACCAGCCAACAGCATTGGCTTAGAAGGCTACGATCAGAAGGAGCTCCCGGCGGAGGACATCACCTTCAGCTTCTGCTTCAGTGTCAATAACAAACAAACAGACAAGATCAGACGCTGTGAGGACTTCCGCACGTCCGGAGACAACTCGACAGTGGTCGCTCACGATATCCGTATGACATCAGGTCCTTCACCGAACTGGCCCTGGCACACCCGTTGGAGCATGGACATTCCAAGGTATGGGCTCAAGACCTCAATAGGGAGCCCAACGATTGCTTTTGCGTCCTGCTGACACCAAAAGGCCCTTTGTTGCTTAGGCACCATCCCTGATGTTCGGAGCAGCCAGCCGAATTCAACCGCACCACCGGTTGCCTGATGTTCCTGAGCCGCCGTCCCTTGGCCACAGCGTGTTGGATGGTGCGTTCGCCTTCCCGAGGTCTTGTCCCCCCTGGTCTCCCATTGTGTTTCTTGCTGTTTCCTTTGTTGCATGGATGGCATGTCCGCCTTCCCGAAGCCTTGTCTCCCCTTGTCTCCTTCCTTGTGTGCCTTGTTGGATGGTTTGTCCTCCCTCCCGAGGCCTTGTCTCCCCTTGTCTCCCATTGTCCCCCTTCTTCTTTCCTTTGTTGGATGGTGTGTCCGCCTTCCCTTGTTTCCCAGCTTGTCTCCCAGCCTGTCGTCCTTCTTGTCTCCCTTTGTTGGATTGTTTGTCCACCTTCCCGAGGCCTTGTGACCCTTGTCTCCCAGCTTGTCTTCCTTGTTTCCCTTTGTTGCATGGTGTGTCCGCCTTCCCGAGGCCTTGTCTCCCTTGTCCCCCATGCAGCGTGAATCCCAGCTTTTGTTTCCCAGCCTGTGTGTGCCTTCTTGATTTCCTTCGCTGGATGGTGTGTCTCCCAGCTTGTTTCCCAGCTTGTTTCCCAGCTTGTCTCCCAGCTTGACTTCCTTCTTGTATCCCTTTGTTGGATGGCGTGTCCGCCTTCCCGAGGCCTTGTCTCCGTTGTCTCCCAGCTTGTCTCCCAGCTTGTCTCCCAGCTTGTCTTCATTCCCAAGGCCTTGTTTGCCTTGTCCCCCTTGTCTCCCAGCTTGTCTCCTAGCTTGTCTCGCAGCTTGTCTCCTAGCTTGTCTCGGTGCTTGTCTCCCAGCTTGTCTCCCAGCTTGTTCTCCAAACAGTGTGCTGTTGGGGGTTCTCAATGCTTTCTTAAGGTGTCCGCCTTGGTGTTGGATGGCGTGTCCTTGTTGCGGACAGTTTCACGATTCTTGTCGCTTCTATTTCATGTGTTTGACCCTGTTCCTAGAAACGCTTCTTGAATCCACCCGGTGTTTGGGGTCTACGGTGGTGTAATTTTGATTTCCAAATCCCACCAGGCTGGGACCCATGGGCAGTTGGTACTTCGGAGCATCCTATGCAGCGGCCCTGTGCTTCGCAGACTTCACCTCAGTTCCCATAAAGAGTTTTTGTTTCCCGTGGGGCGGTGCTGGATTCCTTAGCCCAGCCTTCTTGGTTTCAGATATATCCTGGACCTTCCAAATCCGGAAAAAATCAACGAACTTTAAATTAGATTAGATTATTTTTGGGCGCAAACGATGGATAATGGATGCAAATGCTGAAGTTTATATACTGAATCTGTTGAAAGTGGGCAATCTGGAGGCACAAAAAGCCTAAACATCGTCAAGGAAATCCACGAATTCCTGCAACAATTGGCAAGATAGGCAAAATTTAAAGAGTCGTAGCTCTTAGCTTTGATGTTCCAGGCCTCCGTGGGTAGGCCGCGAAACGCCAAAATCGATTGAATTTCCCAAACACGGAAGCCACTGAACATTTTGAGAATTTGGAAGGTCCAGGATGATTCCTTCCCAGTCAATGTTGCAGGATGGCACACGCTACCAAAGTTGCAAAGTGTCAGTTGGGCTTTGTTGTACAAAGCTGCTGCAGGCAGAACATGAGCATGCATTTGTCAAGGACATTTCTGGGAGTGGAGAAACGAGACTTCGAGCCCTTTCACTGCTTCAATCATTTTGCCCGTTCCCCTGCATGGTAGCTACACCGAGGTCCCAGCAACACCGCTGACTCTCTCTGCAGGAGTTTGGGCAAAATTTGCGAAGTAGCAGCAAGCTGATTTTTTTTTGGCTGTGACGGAACAGACTTATCACGAGAGCTAGCTTGTGCTACCTGCTTAGCAAGGAATGGGCAGGCACCAGGACCGTTGGAAACCCTAAAGCCCCCTGTTCGACCCTCGCCTGGTGCCTTGGACCTCCCGGACCTGCCTGGACCTCTTAGACGCCTCCTGGACCTGTCGCCCCCTGGACCATGGGTTGTGTTCAAGTGCAGGGTAATCATTTCAACAATTCGTTTTCAGCATTTCACCGTCAGCATCTGCATCACCATCATCAGGTGGTACGGGGGCAGGCAGGTGCAGGTTTCTACGCCTTTATCTTCGCCTTCTTCATTTTCATCTGTCTTAGGTGCATTGTCATCATCATTATTGTGCCGTCGTCATCATGACAATGATCATGATCATGATGATGATCATGATCATCATCATCATCACCACCACCATCATCATCATCACCATCATCATCATGATTTTCACCATCATCATCATCATCATCATCATCGGCATTATCGGCATTATCGTCATCATCATTCGTACCCAGCATCATTGTCATCAGTTTACACTTGCAACGGAGCAGTCTCCGGTACAACATTAGTAGCGTCCTGCTCGCTTTCGGACCTCCCCCCTGGCTTCAAGTCATGGGGCCTAGAAGTTTGAAGCCGCAAAACAACGAGCGCGAAATGTTTGGCGACAGTACGTGCTTGCAAGTCTGCGCGGCACTCGGCAGCAGATGTTTCGAAGGGATAGGGAGAGACAGTGATCTCTCAGAATGCTCTTAGAGACATCAAAGAGCAACTGCTGGGGGGGGGGCAAATGGCCGCCCACAAACTACGAGCAGCATGAGAGTGCCTATCGAGTGTAGTTTGAGTATTGGAGATGTTTTTTAGATAATAGATAAATTACTATTGTTTTTTTCCTTGGTTTTGATCTTTCGAGTGTGATTTGAGCGAATTTTCTTTTAATTCAATTAAATTTTAAAAACGCCAATCGAGTATTTTTCTGGAAAACATCGTTTTTTAAAGAATTTTATTTTTGTTTGTTTGTGATTTCAAAAACAGAAATTGATGGTAAAGCACATTGAAATCATAGATCAAAAGACGCTGAAATGCATTTGAGCGAATCTTCTTTCAACCACATCAAATTTAAAATAATAGAAAAATGAACAATAAAGAAAAACATGACAAATATTGACAAAATATTGAAACAAATAATGAAAAAACAATGAAAAAAATGAACAACATGAAAACTAAAGAAGACAATGAAACACAATCATGAAAAGTAAAGAAACAAACATGAAAAAATAATGACAGATGAAGAAAACACAATGGAACAAATAATGAAACATAAAGAAAACCATTGAAAAACTGAAAAAAAAGAAAACATGAAAAATATAGAGAACATATTTAAAACACAATGAAGCAAATTAAAATAAAGATAACCATGAAAAAATTAAGAAAAACATGACAAAAGTAGTGAATAATACAGAAAAACAATGAAACAAGTAATGAAAATTAAAGAAACAACAATGAAAAAATAATGGAAAATCAAGAAAAATAATGAACAAAATGAAAAATTAAGAAAAATAACGAAAAAACAATGAAACAAATAACGACAAATAATGAAAAAACAATGAGACATACAGAAAAAATGAAGAATAATGAAACAAATGACAGATCATATAAGAAAAATGTGTATTTTTGGAACATTGAGTGGGATTTAAATGAATTAAATGTTTTTTCTGGAAAATTACGTTGTTGCAAAAAAAACACGGATCGAGTGATTTCTCTCTATTTAGTAGTTTTTTTTAACCATCGAGCAAATTTTCTTATTAGTGGTTTTTCAAATAAAAAACATCTCAATATGCACTCGAACCAAACTCAAACCCTTAAAAAAAACTTACTCGATGGCTGAATTCCAGTTTTAGGAGGAAACGAGCTCATCCCGAGTGTTTTTCGAGCATGTTTCGAGCATGGTTTGAGAGCGAGTGTGATCAGAGAAATTTGCAAAATCCTGGGCGTAGAAAAATCACTCGATCCTTGTTTTTTTTGCAACAACGTAATTTTCCAGAAAAAAAACACTCAAATCCCACTCAATGTTCGAAAAATACCCATTTTGGTAACAAATACTCAAACATCACTCGAAATGAACTCAATGCTATTAACAACCTTTTGAGATCACTCATACGGGACTCACACAGGCCTCAAACCAAACTCAATATCAATCGATAGATAGTGACTAGAGTTCATTTCGAGTTATGTTTGAGTATTTGTTACCAAAATGTGTATTTTTCGAACATTGAGTGGGATTTGAGTGTTTTTTCTGGAAAATTACGTTGTTGCAAAAAAACCAAGGATCGAGTGATTTTTCTGCATTTAGTAGTTTTTTTTGACCATCGAGCAAATTTTCTTATTAGTGGTTTTTCAAATAAAAAACATCTCAATATGCACTCGAACCAAACTCAAACCCTTAAAAAAAACTTACTCGATGGCTGAATTCCAGTTTTAGGAGGAAACCTGCTCATCCCGAGTGTTTTTCGAGCATGTTTCGAGCATGGTTTGAGAGCGAGTGTGATCAGAGAAATTTGCAAAATCCTGGGCGTAGAAAAATCACTCGATCCTTGGTTTTTTTGCAACAACGTAAATTTCCAGAAAAAAAAACACTCAAATCCCACTCAATGTTCGAAAAATACCCATTTTGGTAACAAATACTTAAACATAACTCGAAATGAACTCTAGTCACTATCTATCAATTGATATTGAGTTGGGTTTGAGGCCTGTGTGAGTCCCGTATGAGTGATCTCAAAAGAAGGTTGTTAATAGCATTGAGTTCATTTCGAGTTATGTTTGAGTATTTGTTACCAAAATGTGTATTTTTTGAACATTGAGTGAGATTTAAGTGATTTTTCTGGAAAATAGCGTTGTTGTAAAAAAACAAGGATCGAGTGATTTTTCTGTATTTAATAGTTTTTGTTACCATCGAGCAAATTTTCTTATCAGTGATTTTTCCAATAAAAAATGCTCAACATACACTCGAACCAACCTTAATTCCGTAAAAAAAATTACTCGATGGCTGAATTTCAGTTTTAGGAGGAAACGAGTTGATCCCGATAGTGTTTCGAGCATGGTTCGAGCATGGTTCGAGCATGGTTTGAGAGCGAGTGTTCTCAGAGAGAATTGCAAAATCCTTCGTTTTTGTGGGCGGCCATTTGCCCCCCCCCCCCACCGGTTGTTCTTTGATGTGAGCGACCCGGATTCCGTCCAAAAAGCTTTCCCCCATCCACTTGAAAGATTTTTGATGTTTTTCCGGGCCCGGGGTCGGAGGGCCGGCGCCAGCTTCGCACACCGGCAATGCCCAAAGGGTTATGTATTGAGCGTTGGTGCTGTTCATGTGCTCTGCGCGTGCGCGCAGGTGCAGAGCACAGTGTGATGTTCTTGTCATGGCGCAGCTGTAACCATTTTACCACACATCATTTTGTCGCATTTTTGTGTTTGTGCTTGTGCTTGTGCTTGTTCTTGTTGTTCTTGTTCTTGTTGTTCTTGTTGTTGTTGTTGTTGTTGTTGTTGTTGCTGCTGCTGCTGCTGCTGTTGGAACACAGCTTATTTTCGCATTTTCGTGGACCCCTAAAGATCGTCAAATAGGCGATGTCTTCGCATATTTTTGCAAGCCTCGGAGCAAAAAAACACAGTAAATACCGATGTTTTTTGCACCTCGGAAATCCAAAACCATGGTATTTACGATGTTTTTTGCCTCGGGTAGCAAAAACTACAGTCTTTACGGTTGTTGTGCCAGTGCCTAGCAAAAAGCATTGGTATTTACGCAGTTTTAATACGACAAGGACAAAAACAATGTATTTTACAATGTTTTTGCTTCCCGAGCGCAGCAAGAAATCGTGAAAAATTGTTCAAAAACGGTCCAAAATTAATTTGCAAAAGCACCTTATAATTTTGGCATTTCTTTTCCCGGCCCCGGACTTCCGGGGGTCGCAGGCTAGGGCGTAAATTGCGGGACGTCTGATAGGTCGGCGCATCGGCTTGGAGGGTCGGCGGTAGGTCCGACTGGAGGGTAAAGGATCATAAATTCGGTTCCGCCGGCTCCACACGAGTGGCTTGCCCCACGAGCGTCCCAGAGCGACTATATAGAGCTCTGTGTGCGAAGCTGGCGCCGACCCTCCGACGCCGGGCCCCGAAAAACACAAAAAATCTTTCATTCTGCTGGGGGCGCTTAATCCGGGTCGCTGAAAAGCGTCTCCAAGAGCATAATCCCGCCCACCCCATTTTGAGGGGATCTAAAATCGGAAAAAAGCGCCGTTTTGACACATTTTTCAGACGATTTTTAGCTTTTCGAAATTAACAAAATGCTGTAAATTATAGCGTTTTAACGTCTTTTGCGGGAGCAATGCAAAAACGCAGAAAATGCTGTAAATACCATTACATTTTAAACAAGAGATGCA